CCATCCTCCGCGCCTGCAGCACGGCCGCGCCCGCCCGCCCCGCTCTGCTCCGCTCCGCCTCGCACCTCGCACCGCCCCCCGCTCCCGCTCCCGCCCGGCACCTCCCAGCGGGGTCTGCTTCCCCAGCCCCGCACAGGGCACCGGCACCTGCCAGACAGACCCGGCACGCAGCAGGGGACGCCGCCCTGTCCGCTTGCGCTCGGAGGTGGCAGGTAGAAACCAGTGGCCACAAGCTGGTTCCCTCTTGCCCGAGCTCACAGGAGACCACCTCTTGTGCAGGACGTCGTTCTGATTTCGGAGTGTTTTGTACTGCAAAAACAACACAGCCGCCTAATATGCCCCCCCTGCTCTCTGCCCAGGGGTGACACCAGGCAGGATAGCCTGACGCGGGTGCCTGGGACGTCGCTAGCGCAACTGAAGTCCATTGGTAAACTTCTGGAGGCAGAAAAGCTGCTCGCGAGCAGCCAGCCTGGGTTTGCTAAAAATACACGGTGTCAAACCTGATCTTCAACAAAGGACTGGGTGGGCGGATGCAGGGAACGCGGTGGGGCGGATGGAGCGCGCTTGGATTTCGGTTGGGGCTTTTGTCAGTCTCGCCAGACCTTCCCGCACATAAATTGCGGGCTAGGCAAAACTGCACGATGGGTAGACAGCTTGGCTTGATATCCGTAAAGGTAATTATCGGTGGATCCACGTTAGGACGGCAGGAGGTTGTAACTAGAATCCCAGAAGCAACGGGCGCTAGATGCAGCCTCAGGCCGGGGATTATCACTGGGTTGTGCTGGTGCTCCTGCTGGGACTAAAAAACCTGGAGGTTTCTGGCTGGAGGGTCTTGCCCCTCTGCTCAGTCAGGGCCAGGAAGGAATCGTACCCCCCTGAGACAGGCATGCCTGGCGGAGGGGTTTGTCTTCCTCTGCAGCGAGGGGCACAGTCCTCGGCTGACGGTGTCCCTGCCGTGCCAGAAGAGTTCTCTAAGGTACCAGGGTAGACGCAGGCATGGATGCACAAAGCAAAAGAGGCTTAATCCAAAATTTCCCTCCCCTTCCAGACAAGCTCTCCAACCACTGGGGAGCAAAAGTCAACTGCCAAACACAACTGGTTCACTGATTCAGGGCTGGGTTACTCTTCTTTTCCTTGTTGCAGGGGTTTAGGTTGTAGCCGTGTTGGTCTAAGGACATAGGCAGACAAGGTTCCTTGGGTGAATTTGATATCTTTTAAATTCACCCAAGGAACCTTGTCGTCTTTTCCTTGGCATCCACCATTTATCAGGTTAAAGAGACCAGGTCCCTTCCAACCCTAATTTTCTACGATTGTTTTTTTTCGGTGAAGGGCATGCAGATGGGGACAGGAAAGACGATTCAGGAGCCTAATCCCTGCTCCTTGAGTAAGATAAATACTTTTCAGGAGATCGCCACTAAACATCACCGTATTCTCACAATTGGTTACTTGTGTGAAATGCAAAAAAACAGGTTCAACTTCTTACTCTGCTTCAGGCTGGATGGGAACCCACCCTGCTTTTAATTATTTGTCTTTTGGTTCAGATCATAAGCTTGCTGACAACAGGGAAGGTTTTGACAGGAGTGATTTATGCTTTTCACTGGCTGCGTTGATATTTTCAAGCTTTAGTATGTCTGCTAGCTAGCTAGACACATTTTTGAAAGCCAGTAGTGATGTCTTATCAAAACCTTCAGTTTTCTTTATGAGGCTTGACTGAGCGTGCTAGTTTTAAGCATAGTTATTTTCTGTCCTTTTTGATAGCTGGGCAGTTGAAACAAATTCCCAACCTGCATTGTACAAATGATATCATTCAATTAAAATAACAGTTCATTGAACAAGAGATGCAATTACTGGAGAATATTTGCAATGTAGCTACTGGAACAACATTTCTGAAGCTGTGCAATGGAAGAGCACAGCAGTGCTGCAGAAATATGTGCCGCAAACCCCCGTGCATCTAAGCTCTAAGGAGAGTCTGTTCTATAATCCATCGAGCGAAGCATAGCATAGATCTTTTCATGGATGGTGATACTGGAAGTGTTTAGCTATTGTTCGCTGGACTAGCACATTGGCTGCAATAGACAGTCGATACAATAGGGACGCATCAGCAGTATCGTAGTTAACCTGCAAAAGGGAGATGCAGCCTTTAATTGGATGTTAAATGTATCCCAAACCGACTAAAGTAAAATCTACTACCAGTCAAAACACTATATAAAATGCTTTGAGTTGTTGAATTGCATGGTTCTGGATCCATCGTCTATAGTAATAAGGGAATCGGAGGGTAATACAAACTCCATTCAATCCTTAGTATTTCCTCTGAGACTTTCAATTGTGCCTTCTGAGTTGTGGACAGCAATCTGTTAGAGGTTAAACATTATTCTTTGCGAGTTGGTATGGGTAAATGGTATTGGTAAATTCAAAGCAAGTGGGTATTGCAAGTGCGTGGTATGACCCTTGTGTTCCCTCAACGGCAACGCTTCACACGATCACAAAATCTACCTTTTGTGACGTGAATCTTGAAAAATGCATGTCCTCCTGAATTCAGTTCTTAAATATTATCACTTCCTTTTTTTCAAGGCTCCTGAGAACATGCACATTCTCAATTTTGATAGAGAAGTTCAATGCTTATGAAAGTCAAACTCAAATTTGCTTTATCTATATATGATGACCATTTCATAAAAGCAGCAATGGATCAAGCAACGTGGCTTGAATTAGTTTTCTCAACTTGGCGTGTCTTCGGAGAACACTTGAGGTAGAGATCCAATTATTAGTGACCAACACTGACATACAGAAATAACTACAGCTCTTTGAAGATGACCTTAAGACATTCTTTATGAAATCACTGAATTGGCAGAAACCAGTCACTCAGTGAATTCATAACCCGAGATGACTTTAATTGTAAGTGAGGCACCATGAAGAACAGTTGCAAAATATAAAAGAAAAGGCAAGGAATAATGGAGCCGGTGTTAATTTGGAAATGATTACTATGCCCATGATTGACGAGAAGATTAAAGTTGATTAGAAACATGACGGAAGTAGATGAAACTTTTTCAAATCCTTGGTACAATAATGAAGTGCTAGCCAAAGGCAAAGATAGATGACTCAAGGGTTCTGCAGCTTCGGAAATTGGTTGGTGGTATCTAATAGGGAGTCGTATACCAGAAATATAAAACAATGATGGCAAAAAACACAAGGGAAGTACTACTGCAAACAGTTCAGAGAGAACAGATGGACAGGGCCATAGGAAAACATTCAAATAAAACAGGCATGCGAGATCATGTATTGTCCCAAAATAAACTCAGGACATTGCACAGATGGAAGCACTCTGCACATCTTGTCTGAAAATTAGGCCAAGTCAATAAACAGAGCCATACTTCACCCAGTATGATGGCAACTGAACCAGAAAGTCTGCACCGGGGAAGAGACATTAGTTACGGACTGTTGTACTGTACATGAAGCTAGCAGAGAGCATGCCCACACGTGATGTCCTGGACATTTTAACACCAAGCGGCCAGTTTGTCACTGGCAAATTTTAAATGAGAATGATTTTGCCGACACAGTTGAGGATGCAGATTATCCGCTGGTGAAAGAATCTGTAAAAGACCCTTGACAAACTGTCCCGAAGGAAACGGGGAGAGGATGAGCAGAGACTAAGTGTACCAGAGCCATTAGCTTACTGCGCCAACCCCGCAGAGAATGGATTATCCTTGCCTCGCACCTTCTAGAAATGAGTTTTTCCCAGATATCTAGAATTGGGTCTAGGGGAATTTGAACCAACTTATTCCTTTTGGTTTTGCAAAGGTTATATAGCTTTCCTGACAATGAAACACTAATGATATGTCTGACCAGAATCGGGAGCAAGGTAAACCCTTGATATTAGGTACTTGGTGCATGGGGAATATAGATGAGTGTCTGAAAGCTGGCTGTTAGACAAGGCTTCTAGATGGACAGAACATACTGGCACGTGAGAAGGGCTTTATTTAATTAGTCCTAATTACATGGTCTGCTCTGAATGGGTATTGCTGGACCTAAGCTTTTAGAATCCAGTGGTGTATTATCATTTATGCCCCTCCATTATGAAACTGCTGGTATTTAGGATCATGTTAGGTCTAAGAGTTACAAATGCAGGACAAAAGTCACCCTAAGGGGACCCTGGTTATCTGAAGCCACTTTAAAAGAATACCTATAAAGAGTTTAAAAAAATATAAATCAGCGTGTATTAAAAAGATCTATTCTCTTTACACTTCTAATAATAACAAAATAGGGTATGGTACACAGCGCAACTTCAAAAAAAACCCAACAAAAAAAAGACCCAAGTCCTCTTGCGTTAAATTCTGAAATGTATCATTAATTTATTTACAGAAAGGCCAAAGTGTCATAATTAATGCTGTATCTACGTCAAGCAGTTTGTTGGCAAATTCCTACCGTAGGATTTTGCCAGCAAAATATCTAGGAGGTGTCATCACAAGGTGCTCTCCTCTTAAAGGTTTCTATCACGTGGTTTGTTGCCTTCAGCTTTTCAGAAAAAGACATCTTTTTGGCTCCAGGCTGCAAGACAGAGGGGGCGGGGAGAGAGAGAAAGATTAAAATATGTTCTTGGATGAGAGAGTCTAAAGCTTGAGGACTACAAGACGAAACAGAACTTTCCTACCATAAGCTGAGAAGTGCTCGTTGCGCATATATATATAGTGAAATCAACTTCAGGTCTAGATTCCCGAGGTGCTACCAGGCTGTGTAAAGTCACGTGGAGGGAAATATGGGGGTGCATGTGTGGATCCTGCAGCTAGCTAGGTACAGAGCTGCTACAGCTAGCTGCAGAGGGTGGTAGATTTGGATGAGGTGCCCTGATTCACTGCATGGATGCTGCTGGGTATCTGCATGTATGAACATCAGGCCACTTATTGAGTCTACCAAGATATGGTCTAGTTAAATGCTTTGCTTTAGAGATGCATTTCTATGATTCTTCTGCCTCCTGTGGTTTAAAATCTCTACTGTAACACTGCAGTAACGAGACTCTTCTACAGTCCAGTCCAGAATGGAAATGAGCTTGAGGGTGCGTCTGTTCAAAAGGACATCTGAAGTTGTATGCTTGTAACAATGAGCTAATGACCGGGTTGGTTTAGCCATACATAGGCCCACAGAGCACTATCGTGACCTGTAACCCTAACCTGCTACAGATCTGTTTGCATCCATCGTGAAACTCTCCTTAGGAGAACGTCAGTCTTGCTGCAATCTGCTCCACTGCCTGGTAGTTTGGAGATTTGCCTAAATGTAGACTAAACCAAAACGTGAATTCATTCTAATTTTGAATCCTGATATATTGTTAGCTCTTGGCATTTGCATAACTCTTCTTCCTTTTAGACCTGGACTGTTGCTTTGCAGTGCCAGACAGCGGCAAGAGAGAACCCCTTGCCACTGCACTGTTACTGGTCTGGAGGTTGGGGTACTTCTTGATAAGATGGCACTTGTGACTGGACAGAGCCAGAGAAAATAGCACAGAGGGCAGTTACAAATTATTGTCTTCATTACGATTTCCACCTTCTTTTCTTATGCAGACCACATTGGATCTTTAGATCCCTTTCGGCCCCCTCTCTCTTTGTATCAAGTTTGGAACACATATCAAATGGGGCTACTTTAGGGGATTGTCCAGGCTCAGGTACCGCTCAATATCTTCAGCTATGCTTGAGGATGAAACTGAGAGTACATTTGCTAAATGTGCAGATAATGCCATGCTTAGTGGAGTAGCTGGTAACTTAAACAAGATTAGGACTGAAAATGACCTTGATAAGTTGGAAACAGGGCCTGAAATAGGGGGAAATTAAGTCCGGATGAATGCAAAGTATTACACATAGGAAGGAAGAATCAAATGCACATAAGCAACATGGGGCATGACTGCTGAGGCTGCAGTACTGCAGAAGATCTTATAGTGGGTCATTACAGTTGGGATCCTAGTGGATCAGAAGCTGAATATGAGCCAACAATGTAATACTCCACAGTCTTCAGCACTGCTGAGGCCTTGCCTGGAGTATTCTGCCCGGTTAGGGGCACTGCACTCCAAGAAAGGTTTGGGCAAAGAGTCCTAAGGGGAGTAATTAAAATATTTAGTGGTCTAGAAAACACAGTAGGTGAGGAAAGATTGGAAGAACTGAGATTCTCTTTACAGAAGAAAAGACTGGGGGAATTTCATTAAAGGCCGTCAAGTACAAAAAGGGTTGTTATTAAGAAGATGGTAATTCATTTTTGTTTTTTGTGGCCACTGGGGGCAGGTTCAGAAATAATGGGCTTAAATTGCAGCAAGGGAGATTTTAGGTTATGTATTAGGAAAAACCTTCTAACTCTGAGGGTCATTAAGCACTGGAACAGATGCATTAGAGGTTGGGGAACCTCTGCCACTGGGAATGTTGTAAGTGCACTCTACATTAACACTGGGATGCTTTGGATGGAGGTGATCCTGCCACGAAGTGCCTTCCAGCCCTATGTTTCTATGGTTGTCAGTAAGCTGTGTGCTAGACAAGTCTTTCAGGATCTGGTTTCCCTTCCAGTTGCATTTGGTCCAAAGTGAGCTCACCTGACTGCAAGTTCCTTTCTCCAAAGAACGCAGCTGTAGACAGGATGATCCTGATGGCACTCTTGCCACTTGTCCTCACCAAACCCCCGTCATCATCATCAATCCCTTGGTTACTAATCTTATAATGAGTATGACTCTCCCTTAGTGATGTAGTGGTTAAAAACTCTTGAAGTCCTATCAGAGTGTGTCTGCCTCACTCCTGTCAGCTCTCATTGTCGTTTCCACAAGGAAGTTAATCAGATTTGTTATGCATGACCTCCCCTTCGTAATCCCTTCTAATTGATCAGAGCAATCTAGGTCTGGATCCTGATTTTAAGCATTTACTTACTGATATAAATAAAACGTACTCTAGTTATTTTCTTCCCCACACAGGGGATGCCTGATATAATGTATGAATGGGTACAAAGCAATAATCAAGTGACCGAGAAATTGCCTCCCTTCATCCACATGGACTTCAGAGTAGGCTAGAGATTTAAGTGGTCTGCATAGTGTAGGTGGGGGCAGATCTGTAAAGGAGATTACCAATTACTGCTTCAAAACCCTGGCTGCTTAATCTTGGGATCCATCCCAGGGAACCTTGTTCTTGGGCAAACTAAACTGCAGCTCACTGTGAAAGAGTGGTTAAATATGAGGACTCTGGTGCTTCTGAAAACGTTAGCCTCTCTGCAAGGAGAATCTTACAGCAGTGTGTGAATTGTGCGTGCCAGCATTGTGTGGTTCAGACACTAGACCTCTGCTTAAGTTGCCAGAAGTTTTGTTGCAACCATGTAGAGAGCACTTAACTTGCTGTGTAAATAGAAGGTATACCCAGGCTAGATTATGCTGGGAGAGGATGGCTTTTTGCATGCTGGCATATGCTTACTGCTTTGAAATACACAGCGTCTTTCTATCGCAAGCTGCTCGCAGACATCTCAAAACTAATGCCTGCTCATGTTTGCAGTGAAATAACAGGCAACTAAGGAATGAACAACTCCTCCAGTTCCCTTAAGGAGTTTGGGGGACTCTAATTTGGTACTTTTTCAATCAAATACCAGGCTGGCTTCCTCGCTCCCCATTTCCCTA